TGCAAAGTGTTACAGTAGGTTGTAATGCATTTTATTATAAAATTTGCAACGTCCGAATGGCGCAAAAATAAACCTTTTTCACGCATTCTCGTCTCTCTTCAATATATTAATTTTTTCTATTTTACAATTGTACATTGAAAATATACGATAAATTGTAACGAATAAGAGGAGAAAGTTTTTTTTTTTTTTTTTTTTTTTTTTTTATTGCAAATCACGGGTGGACATCAAGTTCAATAATCTAGCTCCCATAAAGTTAGCAAATTCATTTTTTCCAAATAAGTTGCAATTTTTTAATTTAGATAAAAAATGTACATTTGTGTATTGCTATTAATATTGTCTCTCTGTGCTTATTTTTATAACAATTAGTAGTGCAGTATAAGGATTCGTGACTTAAAAGATGAATATAAAAATGCTAAAGGGTGAATCATGTTAACAATATAGCGAGTGAAAACGATATTGGATAATGTTTCAGAGATTAATGCCAGTTCGTGTGGAATATGACAGTAACGTTTTTAAGCAGTAATAATCCATTTCTCTAGTCGACATTGTTTTTTTTTTGTTTTGTTTTGTTTTTTTTTCTTCATTTCAGTTCCAATGGCTTCTAGTTGAAGACCGAGATGTAAAGTAAATTTACGTGTCTGACTTGACTAGCGAGACGTTTATCGAATTCATGCTGAACATTGGATTTACAGCGAGAATGCGTTTTATCAAATAGATTGGATAACGATCTATCATTCGATTATCAATTTGAAATAGTTATCGAGCTAAAGTCATACTTCGCGTACTAATGTCTTAAAATGTACAGTGGCAAATCGAATAGAGATATTATGCGGTGCACGAACGAAGAGTGACACGAAATCCGACAAATAAAAGAGAAGGATGATAGCGAGAAGGAAGCCTTTTAAAATTTAATCTTAAAAACAGTGCACTCCACGAATCGTTATTTACGTTAGGATACAATGGATAAGGCGAGCTACGATCCTTAATAATATTATTCTATATAGATAATGAATAATTATGCAGAAGCAAGGAAGAGAGGGCGAGCGAAAACGTGTAGAAATATCAGCGACGGTTACGATCCAACGTCCGATATGTCAGAATAAGACAAGGAACTCGTGCACAGGCATACGAATACACGCCCGCGAAGGCAAGATCAAGAACAAGAGCAAGATCGAGGCACGGAAAGAGAGAGAGAGGGAGAGAGAGAGAGAGAGAAGAGAGAGAGAGAAGAGAGAGAGAGAGAGAAGAGAGAGAGAAGAGAGAGAGAGAGAG